ACAAATGGATGGATGGATAGACAGACAGCTAGGCCGTCACACTGGCGTGAGATAAGCTAAGAAATTCTCCCACCGAGGGTGCTCCACTACTGATTGCTGCCCCGTCGGCAGTCCACCCAGACCAAACGGCCCACTCTTTCTTTCTACCCGCTCGCACCGAGCCTTTTTTTTTTCTTTGTTGCTGTTGTGAATGGAAATGAGCCGGGGTTGCTTTACCCTGCACGAGAGTGGAGATGGTTCGATCGTCTTTCCGAGAGAAACACGGGATGGATCGTCCATCGTCGCTGTCTGGAGATCACATGATGTAGTTTGACCCCCTCCTGTCGCCTGCCTGCCAAACGGGTTGGCACTTCTCACTTTCACGCACGAGCAATGACGGCGGCAGTGAAAACAGTTCGTAAATATCTCTACGTTTCCCCGTCAAAAATATCTCTACGTTTCAAATAGTCAGAGAGAGACAGTGCGACTTGTGCTGGCGCTACCGTCCGTTTTTCTCACATGGGAAGACGGGCAAACGGCCAAAAGCCTGACGCGTCCGTAGCTTCGGCAAGGCGACGCCGCTGCTGCTTTGAACGTCACGGGCGCCAGCCAGCCACCGGGAGCGGAAGGGAGCTCCTCTGCCGCGACGAGACATTCATTCCCCCCTTCCACTAGCCCCCAGTCTTCTCATCTCATCATCTCACGGGAGAGAGAGAAAAAAGGAAAAGAAAACGAGGCCTCGGGACAGACCAAAAGCAACAGGTTAAAAAATAGTTGCGCTCACAGTTTCCTCCCACCCCCCGCCGTCCCGTCCGCCCCATTTCCGCGTCTCGGCGTGCGGAAGTCAACCCCAACCCACCCCCGCGCGCCCCGCAGCAGCCCGCAGGAAATCGCCGCGAATCCGGCGGCCATGTTCGGCGACTCCGACGGATCCAAGGACCCCGGCGCCGCGCCGCCGCCCGCCGACCAGCCCTTCCCCAACCGCGAGCTCACCCTCAGCAGCTACCTCTGCGACAAGCCCACCCTCGCATCCGCCGCCGCCGCCGAGGCCGCTGCTTCCGCGGCGGCCGCAGCGGCAGCGGCGCCGGGCTCCTCCTCCCCTCCCAACCCCAACCCCGCCGCCGACGCCGCCGCGGCCGATGCCGCCAACGCCAAGCTCTGCGTCGAGCGCGACTTCCTCCACCTCTCCGCGCCCAAGCGCGGCGATCCCCCTGGGGACGACTCCTCCGTGGTCGGCGGGAAGAAGCCCCGCCTCGACTCCCTGCAGCTCTCGCTCTCCCTCCCGTCCGACGGGCCCGGGCAGGGGCAGGCGCAGCAGCAGCAGCAGCTCCCGCCGGCCCCCGCCGCCGATGGAGATCTCCGGGCCGCGTCGGCCGGCGCCGCCGCCGCGCCACCCCCCAGGCGGACCTACAGCGCCACCACGGGCCGCACACGGAGCATCAACTCCGACGACATGTCCTACTCCTACTCCATGTTCTCGCACAACCCCAGCTGCTCCCTCACGCACAACTCCACCGACATCTACGCCGCCGGGGAGGGAACAAACGGCTCCGTGCACAGCAGATTCAATTTCCGCCCCATGGGGGACGGCAGCGTCGCCTTCGCCACGCCGCCGATGAAGGAGGGCACCTCCGCCTTCTTCCCCACTGAGCTCCCCGCCAAGATGGCGGCGGCCAGCGCGGGGGGCAGCTTTGACGGCGGCCGCGGCGGGCATACGTCGCGGCCTGATAGGATCCTGCGGGACATCGTGTCGGACTCTGTGTCGGCCATGGCGCATGTGCTGCAGGAGTTCCCCAGCGAGTCTCTGGAGGTGCTGCGGGCGGCGGTGCGGAGCATGGTCGATGCTCCGGAGAAGACGGACGAGCTGGCCAGCCTGCAGCGGAGGCTGGAGCGCCGGTCGGACCTGACGGCCGAGGCACTGGCGCGGGCCAACAGGACGCAGTTGGAGATCCTGGTGGCCATCAAGACTGGTTCGGCCGCGTTTGTCACCGGCAAGGGCCGCGTACCAAGCAGCGAGCTCGTGGAGATGTTCCTCATGACACGGTGCCGCAACCTCAACTGCAAGAGCATGCTGCCTGTGGACGATTGCGAGTGTAAGATTTGCTCCAGCAACAAAGGGTTCTGTGGCGCATGTATGTGCCCGGTGTGCCACAAGTTTGACTGTGCTGCGAATACCTGCAGTTGGGTCGGTTGTGATGTTTGCGGCCATTGGTGCCATGCTGCGTGCGGGCTGGAGAGGAACTTGATCAGACCAGGCCCGACACTCAAGGGGCCGATAGGGACGACTGAGATGCAGTTCCAGTGCCTTGGTTGCAGCCATTCTTCTGAGATGTTTGGATTTGTTAAGGAGGTGTTCAATTGCTGCGCAGAGAACTGGAATGCTGAGACGCTGATGAAAGAGCTAGATGTTGTCAGGAAGATATTTGCTGCTAGTGATGATTTTGAGGGGAAGGGGCTTCATGCCAAGGCTGAAGAGGTCCTCAGCATGCTTTCAAAGAAAGTTATCTCCCTGCCGGATGCATTGAACAACATGCTGCAATTCTTCAAATGTGAGATCCTCTTTACTTTATTACATTCTAAAGCACCATGTTACAAACCTGAGTTCTCTAAATGAATTATTACTTGCTTTATTATTTGTGTTAGCATGATCATGTTACATCTGCATACACTTTCCATGTGGGTTCCTCCTCTGAACTGCTTGGAAATACGATCATTATGTATATTTTGTGCTACACTCCATCTCTGTCAGTCATGTTAGGTATTCACAGTTTCTTCTGTTTGACCCACATTCGGGGAATGCATTTGCTGTGGCACTACAACTCTGGCATTGCTCAGTCATGTTTAGGTGTTCACAATTTGTTTCCGGTTGTCACATATTTGGGAAATCCTTTTGTTGTGCGGCACTACAACCCACCACTTTGCCATAAGGATGTATGCATGGCCACATCATCGGTACATTTGTTGATATGCACAATGAACTTCCAGTCATTTAGCACTGCAATACGGGCAAAGCTGGATAGTGTTTTGGCCGAGTGATTTGATTGAATTGAGTTTGAAAGCAAAAAAATGATTATAGCATTAAGCCAATGCTCTAAATGACCGAGTTAACCTTGAATATCTTTCTTTTGCCAACAGTAGCTTTCTTGAACTCTGTTGGAAAACATATTGCTCCTACTGAACCATGAACAGTTAAGGGTTCCAAAATGCAATGTTGGGCATGATGTAAGAATCAAAATGCATATTCTGTTGAGACGAAATCTATTATAATACTCCCACCCCTCCAAATACAACTAAAATCTGGCGTCATTATATATGTTCTTTTAGAGCAATCGAAAATAATTCCGTCATAGTTTTATAGAATTTCTCAGGTACCACAGCTCTAATTAATCTTTATGTTTTCACAGATGGCGTTACCGACTGCTCTGTCACTGGCAGCAAGTCCAAAGGCATATTGGCAGCAAATCAGGCGAGCCAATCTACGATTCCCCTTCTATCTCCGACCATCAGTCCACCCAAATCCTTCAATTTCAATGCCAGCACCTCCATTCTCGACTCACAGATTGATGCGCTCAAGACCAGCCCAAAGTCCCTCTCTATTGAACCCCGTTTTGGCTCCAGCTCAAACCCACTGGCTATTGAACCCCGTTTTGGCGCCAGCTCGAAGCCGCTGTCCGTTGATTCCCGTTTCGGCGCCAGCCCGAAGCCGCTCTCTATCGAGCCCCATTTCAGCACCACCTCAAAGGACGACGAAGCCTCCACCCTCGAGACCGTCGTCAAGTGCAAGGAAGCCGAAGCAAAACTGTTCCAGAAGCTGGCTGACGATGCCCGGAAGGAGGTGGAGAACTACCGGCAGATGGTTCGCAACAGAATCCAGAGCATGGAGGAGGAGTACACATCGAAGGTGGCGAAGCTGTGCTTCCAGGAGGCGGAGGAGAAGAGGAGGAAGAAGATGGAGGAGCTCAAGACGCTGGAGAACTCGCACTACGACTACCACAAGATGAAGCTGCGGATGCAGACCGAGATCCAGGGCCTGCTCGAGCGGATGGAGGCCACAAAGAAGATGTGGGTGTAGAGAGGAATCCCGGTAAAAAAACAAAAAAAACCACCACCTGCTGCTCCTGAATGCCTGCAGATCGCCGTTGTTGTCCATTAGAGTGTAATGGTTTCTAAACCAAAGTTGCTGTGTTCCATCTGTAATTTGTTCTTTTTTACTACCCGTTGTTAACTGTTGTTATTATAAAGCGGAGGAGGCCTAACCTTGCGCCGGCGGATATAACCTGACAGCATTTTCAGTTCATTGCTTGCTCATTGCCTGATGGTGTGCAGAGTGCAGTCGTTGGGTCATGACCTGTGCATTTAGCCCCATGCTATGCTATAGTTGTCATCGTCGTCATGAGAATATTTCAACTTCCCAGCGTGTCATTTTCTCCTCTCCTTTTCGATGTTTTTTCCCGGCGCAGGCCAGGCCAGGCCACACTGTTGGCGTGTGCGTTGGGATCCCGCGTGGATTTTCTTGTTCGGTTGTTCGCCCTGATCCTGTTCACAGCTACAGGCTGCAACTCCTGTTAGGACATCATGGTCTGACAGCAGCAGCGACGGCCTCGACCTCGACCCGTCGCTCACCGTTGTACTACTCCGGCTCCGCCGCCGAGAGCGACGGCTGGGGAGGCGTGTCGACGCCACACTGGCCGGCACGGGGAGTCTCACACGACAACATTATTAGCAAGGAAAAGGGGAAAACATTCTGGAGTTCAGAATTCATGGGCACAGCAACATGATTGATTGATCACATGAATCTTTATACCGCGGGAAGTTGTAGGCTACACGCTACTACCAATACCACAGAAGAGCACCAAAACTGTACAGAAATACTTCCACGTACGTACGTACGCACGCATGAAACAAATACGGGTCGTCGTCTACCATCATGATCCGTTGATCGACGTCGGGAGCCTGACGAGTTGCACCAACCTAGCAGTACGTATAAGCGTAGCGATCGACGGCGTGCGTACGGATGGCGGCTAGAGTCTGAGCGTCAGGTCGGGCTCCTCGTCGGCTTGCACCACGATGCTGCCGCTGCCGCTGCTGCTGCCGAAGTTGGGGCCTGAGTGGAGGAGGGGGAGCACGCCGGCGCTCGGTGGGGGTGGCCTGAAGCTGCCGGGCCACCCGAAGCTGACCTCCTCGTCGCCGCCCACGAGGAACGGCATCGGGCCCAGCAGCGCCCGCGCGCGCGCCGGCGTGGCCGCGAGGACGGCGGCGTCCTGCTGCTGGTGCTGCTGCCGCTCCGCCTGCGCCGCCGCCGCCGCGCCCGGGAGCGCCGACGCGTGCGCCTGGATGCCGATGGGGTACAGCCCGGGGGAGCCGTAGAGCGGGAGGGAGGCCACGTCGGCGTAGCCGTAGGGGTAGGCCTCCAGCCGGTGCACCGCGCGCCGGGCCAGCGTGCGCTCCCGCCGGTGCGCGTTCTGGTGCCCGCCCAGCGCCTGCGAGCTGAAGAACTTCCTCTGGCAGTAGTTGCAGGTGAACACCCGCGTCGGCTCGCGCGCGGCCTGCGGGCCGCCGTTGCTGTCGGTGGTGCTCGACTCGGCGGTGGCGGTGGCCGCCGCGGCGGCGGCCGCGGTGACGGTGAGCGACAGGTCGAGGGCGAGCTTGGGACGGGAGGAGGTGTTGGACGCCTCGTTGTTGTTGGACGCCGCCTGGCTGCTGATCTCGGACAGCTGATCCTCACACGCTTCTTGGACGCTGCTGCTCTTCATCTCTGAACAATCTCTCTCTGTCTTCTTTCGCTGCACTTTGTTTGCTCCTTTATCTATCTCTCACCTGCATGCATCCAGAGAACAAGCCAAGTCATGTAAGCAAGTGCATGTGTTCTTCTGTACTTGGTGAGATGATTTGATTTCTGTACTTGGTGAGATGATTTGATGCATAAAACTGAAAAGGATCTCTTGTTTCTAGTCTCAGCTGCACTCATTGACTGACTCACCACAGTGCAGATGAGTCCTGAGTTGTTGTACAAGGATAAAATAGCATGTGTTGCTATTGTCGGTGTGGAGATCATGACAAACTGAATCTTAGAAATGGGAGTGCTTGCCCTGTGGATAAGCACAACAGAGTCTGAATTGACACATCTTTTGTTCTCCGAAATTGCTTCCGGCTTACGTGATTCCGAAGACGACAGTTCATTATGCTGTCGATTTAGGAATCCAAGCAAGTTCAGATTTATCCAGATGACTAAAGGGCTACTAGAGGAGCACAAGCAGAATTTTTCAAGCTTCATGTGTGCTGAATAACTGAATGTGTCTGAATGTGGAGTGCAGACAGATCAAGGCAAGTATCCGATCCATTGCTAAGCCTGGATATGCTACCTTTGATGCCAAATCAGAGGACAAACAGATGAAAAGCGTGGCCTCTTTTCTGGTCTGGGAATCTCTAAAACGGAACCTTATCTGAAAGAAAAGGGTCCAGGAATAGCACATTCAGTTGCTGTCATGAAAAGATGGAAGCCCTGGTGTTCCCATCCAAACCCCTGTGGTGTTTCTGGAGATCTGAATCGTCAGATGGGAGCACGAATATAAATGCTGGACAGCTACGCCGAATTCACCAACAGAGAATGCTTTTTTGTTTTGTCAAAGAGGCCCAACAAACAAGACTTCCCTGGTGGTGTTTTTTATGTGCCTGCCACAAGTGATCCGATACCAGTGTTTCTGAAGACCACTAGGTTGGACTTGTTTTTGTCCATGCCATTGCAAATATCATCAGATCACTACTGCCAGACTGCATTACGAATAAGCTAAACAACATCAACCCTATAGGTTCGAATTATGCATCATGGTACTACTCGATGGCAACTGGAGTAATAATAATACTAAGAATTAATTTGGGAAAGGTAGTGTCATGCACTAGAGCTTGGTGATACTATCTTATTTAGGAGATATATAAATTATTGAGGCACTTGGACCAGGAGATTTGCCAATTTTGGCAAGGCACATGAAGCAAAAAAAAACATAATTATTCAGAGAAGACACTGCCAAATCCCATCAACTCTTGTATGTATAAAGAACAAAACCCTGATGGAGCGACGTGCTACCAACCGGCAGAACAGGAGTGGGCATGGACTGGAGCGCACACGAACTAGATTCATACTACCGCAATATATTTGTAACCAAAAAAAAAAAAAAACCCATGCTTGAGTTGAATGAACCATGAAAGCAAAATTACTTGAAAGATCTTGGCTAGCCCTTGATCTCAACTGGACCGAATTGTGCTGAACTCCCTTGAGCCGCCGAACAAGACATGCACAAAGAATTACTCTACTCAGAACCGAGAAGGCAAGAATGGATGAACTAAAAAAACGCCGGAATCAAGAAGAAAAAGAAGGGAGGAAAAGCAGTAAAGATTCATGCGCTTCTGCAAGGAGAAGAACCGAATTAATTACCTCGAACACACCCCTCCTTGCTTCTCCGATCAACCCCACACCCCTCGTGAAGAAAGATTTGAAGAAGGAACCCCAGGAGCGGCGAAGGTCAGGCCATGGCTCCCCCGCCTCCAAGACCTAGCGCCGCCTGCGCTCACCGAAGGGGGGAGGAGGAAGGGAGAGAGGCGAAGTGAGGAGGAAGGAGGGGAGGGAGGGCAGGCAGGAAGGTGGTGTGTTCAGTTAAAGTGGTGGCAGCCCCACTCGGACTCCCACCGTGTCTGTGGTGTTTAATTGTGGAGGAATGCAGAGGGGTTTGGTAAATTACTGGTAGGGCGGGGATGAGACGCGATGGGATGCGAGACAGACGGACAGTGGTCAGAGCTCGGAAGTGGTACAAGAAAAGGATGCATCTGATAGGATACAACAGCATAAAACGCAAGGATGAGATGAGATGAGACGAGATGAGACTGGGCATACACACTTCTGGCTTTCCTTTCTACTTTCCTTTGTACCATGACCATCAATAGCCACTAGCGTCTAGCGCCACCACCATCCGAGAAAAGCAGAGGGAAAGCGCCCCACATTTGCTAGACAATTCAGGCTGGGGCTGCTATGCTCCTGCTCTGCTCGCTCCTTCCTGGTCTAGCTAAGGCTAAGCTAGCACTTGTGACTTGTTTACTCCTAGGGTTAAGTGTGCTCCATCTACCCATCCAGTAGTAAGTAGTACATGATAATTACTATATATTGTTGTTGGACAAAAAAACTGAAGCAAAATAGTACAGTCTCTGTAAATAAAAAAATTGAAAAGAGGAGTTGAAAAAGATGATGATGCGCGTGAGGTGTGTGTGCAAGGTGAGTATGAACTGGTTGCAGGGGACCAGAGGGTGGCATGATACTTTAGTCAGTCAGGGATGAGTCAGTCAGGATTGTGCCCTTTTTCCGTTGCGCATTGCACTGCACTGCATTGCTCTCTTGTTGTTGCGCAACATGACATGCCGATGCGATGCCTGCCTCCGAGTTTATTACTGGCACTTGCTCGCCTTGTGTACTTGCTTGGGTTTGTTTGGGTGGTGGCCGCTGTACTCTACTGGGCCCTTTTTATTTATTTTATTACTTGTGTCATCGATGCTGTGGCCAATGGTATGGTCATGGGGTCATGAGCAGTGCGTGAGTTATTTCCCTTGTCAGAAAGCAGTTTGAGTGTGGCTTTTGCGTTCCCTCTGCGCCTGCGCCTGCGTACTGCACAACATGCCTGCCTGCAAGTTAACTCTGCTCCTCCCACTGCCTCTGTCCTTTGCCCTGCTGTTCTCTGATGGATCCCATGCACTGCCACTGCCACTGCCATTCCATCTCCTCCCGATGGTTGCAAGGGGGACAGCCCTGTGAAAGCGCCTCCTCCTCCTCCTCTGATGCCATCCCCATCCTTGTGACAAGACTTGTTTCTATGCAACTAGTACTACTACAATGTGAGATCTTTTTCTTTTTTGCAACTTTTCTTGTGGAGAAATGCAAAGTAAGTGAAGCGAGAGATCTGAGGTTTATCTCGGCAACAAGTGCGTGCCATTGTATACAGCAGCATTGCAGTG